TGCCAGCTGTCTGCTGAAAAGGCACAGGCTTGTTCCTTGGCCCTAACAATGCAATTACAGCCCTGCAGATCGCACTGTTTGTGCATTAAGTACAGAGCCAAAACGAGGCGAATTGATCGTTTGACTTTTGGAGAAGCCATGTGATCTCTCTGTGCGGGTGATCCGACATGCATCAGCAGGCAATACTGCAGTCAATTCTTGATGGAGAACTTCCTTCCTTCACCCTTCTTTCCCCTAATCCTTCCCTTTTCACTGACTGGGCTCATCTCATGCTAATCTAGATCAATCCACAAAGACAAACTTGATCTTATTAGCTCCCTGGTTAGACAGAAATGTGAATAGGTTCTAGCATCTTCAAGAGCTTCAGTCAGATAGATCAGTGGTTCCCAACAGCTGAACTGCTGCTGCTATCTAAAAAAAAAAAAAAAAGGTTCATAAAGAGTTCACTGAGGAAAAAAAGTTTACAGAAACAATGTAGTTCAAAAGAACTACAGAAAGTTTTCGGTTTTGTCAAATAAAACGACCTTGGAAAGGTTCTGCTATAAAGCTGCCTATACTCAAAGACCGTCAAGCAATCAGCACCGAGCTCTGTGTCCTGCCTCTCTCTGCAGATGTGCCCTGCTGGAGGATGCTGGCAGCCGACGTGCCCAATCAGTGCAGCTGGACTTCAGGCAGCAAAACAGCCAGTGCGATCTCCACTCAGGGCAAAGTTTTAAACACATTTTGTTGACAGCTTTCAGTTCATTCTTTCTTTGTCCTGTGTGGTTAACAATGAGAGCCAGGAGCATGGAGCCTGTGCAAGCAGTTACTCAGATTCTAAGGCGTAATTCATAAACATTCAGGACTAGGGTCTGCACTTTTTTTTTCTTTTTCATTGTTCTCCTGGTTGGAAATGGCTTTGAATTCTACCAATTTTAACATAGGATTCTGGTTTACATTTTCCTTACCCGATAGCATATGCTACTTAGGGTTCCTGAAGCTGATTACATAACACATGTAGAGTCAATCTGTTGGTCCATGTTGGTGTCCCAGGTCTGCATTCTTCAGTGTCATGCACCTTAGAAGGGAGCAATTTCTTGTATCCTTAACCCAACAAATGTGCAAACTCTTATCTGTAACAGGAGTCCTTGCTTCTATTATTACTTCAAAGTGACCTTGGAAAAGTCACTTCACTATGTATTTCTCAGGACCTCTCTGTAACCCCCATTAACGTTCATTAAATTCATGCAGACAATTAAAAATGAAAGGAAAAAATATTTCTGAACATCATTTGTGCCTTTTTGAAACAGCAATAAAGCTCATGTGTAACATGTCTGTGACTCCAGAATATTTCCAACCACATCAGCCTCAATGATATGGTTAAATCCAAGTATGTTAGCCTCAAAGCTTAGACCTGGCAGAGGCGCCTGTGTGAAGAAGGGACCATCTGACACGCTACTTGTGGAACAGTATATTAAAGAAGCCTGTTAACATGTAGTTTAAAACTCAAAAGAAACTCTGAACAGCTGAAATGCCTTATAAATAGCACGGACCCAGAGGAAGTGCAAACGTCTGCATTGTGAATTGTAGATCTTAATTACCGACAATGGCTGGTACAGCAAGCAGCACGGAAAAAAAGTGAAACAGTTGCACTGTTCATGGTTGGCAATAATTCTTCAGGAAAATATTTACTATCAATCAGTTATGAGAAAAGGGACTCTGTGCTCATAAAACAGCACGTTGCTTCTCATACCAGGACCATTTTGCTTCAGCATAATCTGAATTTAAACAGCTTGTTTCCTGCGGATATAATTTTAGAAATAAATAAAACAAGTCTTCTATCAAAATCTGGAGTGAGTGGAAAGGAACATCACATTTTTCTGTCTCAGTCAGTTCCAACAGATTATTAGTCTCAAGTAAAAAAACAATAACAACAAACAACAACAACTAAGATACAAAACATTTTCAAAGGACTACTGAAGGGGTTTATCTCTCAATCACAAAGAGGAAGAACTTCTATCTGGGTGCCAAGGATCTAGGCAGATGTGTGCAAATAACTCAATCTGAACTGAATGTATGTGTGTGTGTGTGTGTGTGTCTCAAGGTAAATGAGGGAAAAGCTTGAAGCCTAGAACTAAAATATTCAGTCACACTGACTGAAGTCAGTAACAAAAATAACATAAGAAATAAATGCTCTTCAGTTTCCCAGTTAGTTTTCATCACCAATTAAAAAACATCATGAAGGTTGACAATTAGGCAAACATAATTATAGATTTTAAAGACTAAGTTGACAGTCAATAATGACTGTCCATTTAAAGCTACAATAAATACAGAGCTCATCATGTTCCAAACACAAATCTTATGAACTACAGGGTTGTAATTAGTAAGAAGAAAGGTTTTTGAAGAAAATAAGAGACATTTCAATGCCTCTAAATACTACTCAGATTAAGTTATACTAATAAAATGACCCTTCCCTCATTTTTATTTTATAATCTTTTCTTAGGCTTCACTCTTCAAGTTATAGATTTAGAAGATTATTATCAACCTTGTATCATTTTCCAGTGTTGTTTTTTGGTATTCTAAAATGCACATAAACAGTATTCAATAAGAGGATTTTGGAATATAATTAGTATCTTGCTCCAAACCAGTCATTCGTATCAGAATTCAGCTACTGTGAACTAGTCAGAGAGCAAAAATGTTGATATCACTGCATTATAGTTGCTCTCACATGGAGATGGTTGGACATTCAAGGCCACATTGGAGAACAATCTGAATCAACAACAGATAATTGTACCAAGTGAAAAACCACTGCAGCCTTATCAAGTGTAGCAGATGAAACTATTCGGTTAGGGTTAAAGGTGAAGAACAAGAAATAGGGACAAGCTTGCCGACCTATAAAAATAATGGCAAGTCATTACCTTTCAAAGGTCAAGCAACAAATGAGGCCAGTGGAAACAGCATGGACTCATGAGACACCATATTACACATGTAAATAAAAAGGAAAAACTCTCTTACTATTCCCATGTTCTCAATACCTCACTGGAGGCTGTGGAAAGAAACACATTTTTCCAGCTACATGTTTATATTTGCCATTGATCAGCTGATTATTGACTCAGATCTGAAGCAGTGAACCAGAAGGCAGGATGCAGGCCAGTAAAAGAAATCAGAAAGTTATGTGGGTTCCCAGAGGAAATGATAGAAGTTAATATGAGGGTGTTTAAGGAGATGAAGAAAGGATTTAAGTGTCAGAAAAATGTTAAAATAAGCAAGAACGGGATGAGAGGGTCACCATCTGGGAGCATGTGAAACAGACTGATGAGCAGCAATGAGCGAACTTATTTCCTCACCCAAGAGCATAAAGGAAAATATGCCGTTGTTCCAGCTGCCAGAAGATTTCTAACTATGCACTACTGAAGTACAGGGTGGGAGGAGGGAAACAACACATCCTACAGATACACAACATAACTACGTAGCTTAGAGATCCTGGCTTACAAAGTATGGAGAAAACAAAAGGAACAGATGCTCACTTGGCCAGCTCTCAATGAAACTCATTAAAACCACCACCCCGTCCTTGGATCGGCGTTCATGCTAAGATTGTACCTTGTTTAGCCAGAAGTCACCCACTTGTGTTGAATCTGAGAGCACCATGACCAAAAAGGGGGAAGACTATTTCTAAAGGCCCAAATAACTGATCCTCCTCCCCCAATGCACAAATGCTAGATATAAAATAGGGTCAATTAGCACTTGATAGGTGTGACTAAATGACTGAAAAATAAACACATGTAATTTATAATATTCGTATTTTGTAGCAAATTATTAAGGCATTCTAATTTAAGAGACACTTAACTGACAAACTTTTTAAAAATTTTATTTGAAACAGACTATTTTTCAAAGCAATTTTAGGTTTCCAGAAAAGTGGTGCAGAAAGTATAGAGTTCCTGTATGGACTGTCCCCTCTGCACACTGTTTCTCCTATTAACACCTTGCATCCCTGTGAATCTCTTCTATAACTATAATTTTTAGTAAGTTCTGACGTTTCTTATATGGATCACAACAATGGTTATATTTTGTATGACATTTTTTCAGTTAGTAAGCTAGGCCCAAGGACTTCTGCATGTTTTATGAAATGAAATGAAAATAAAAAATATTTGTGTCCTTGGATATTTTTGTAGTAGTGGATGGAGACCCCATGACACCAGTCCTGGCTCTAATAACAACAGTAGTAACTGAGGGCCCGGGTATATAATATAATAGACTAAAGCAATTTAAGTTGAAAACGCTGCAGCAGTGAAAAATCTCTGAATGGTCATAAAGGCAATAATGTTATAGATATGTAAAGTAAAAATGTAGAAGCAAAGCAGAGTGGAATGCTACTCATGGTCTAATCAAAATGGCTCACATTTAAATTTAGGTCCAAGTTTCTGAACAATGAGAGCTGCCAGGGAAATTTGAGTCATAGTTGATACCAAAAGCCTCAGATCTCTAATACTTTACATTATCTTTGTATCTAGGCTATAGAATGGCACATAATTATGCATAAAAAAGACACAGCTGATATAGTATGACTCAATATACTTGTTCACTTAGATCATCAAAAGCAACATTGCTATCAATAGCTACTTGATAAATAATAATAGTAATATAATTATTGGATTTTCTATAGTGTATTTCACAATCCCGGTATTGGTACATTCTATTATTAATTGTATTTAAAAATCAGGAACTTACAAAAACAATTGTATGTTATCTCATACAAATCTTACTGACTTGTGACAACCCATAACTAGTGTCAAGCAACAAATTTAATCTGTCCAAAGTGTGACCAGAATACATAATCAAAAGATTCTGCTGTAACTGAATAGATGGAAAATCCAACTTGTAACTTTCTTTGGATATAATGATTCCTATTTGTATTTTGTTCTGTAATATATATAGTCCTGTAATAGCCTGAGTAAAGGTGCCTATACACAAAGCATTGTTGCCATGTGGTAAAATATGTATCAATGAGTAATAGCACTTACTTTGGCCACACAGTTTTCAGTCTTCATAGCAGTACTTGCTAGACATACTGTTTCTTGGTTTAAGCAGAGTCTGGCACAGCTGTTGTAAGTCTGTAAAGAGAATTTTTTTGGAAACAGGGTGAATATTGAAATACTACCACATATAGTTTTCAAATTCTGTCCTATTTCTCAAAATCAACACACAAATCCTATCTGTAAATTTCAGATTTATGAAGGCTGAAGGACAAGGTGGAAAAGGGGGGGCAGAGAAAGTGAGAGCCCCCAAGAGCCACTGATATGACCACGAAGGAGCATGTGAACAGCAGCCGGGTGGTAATTGTTTTTGTTTTTAACACAAAATTTAAGAACTTAATTCTGTTTAAAACTGAGCAATTACCATCCTTAGAAAATATCTATTTTTGTTTTTTTCATTCTAAACCTTAGGGAAAAAAAATCAAGACCTGAAAGTAGCAAGAAGACATACTTCTTATTCAGAACAATGGGTAAAATTTTTCCAACTACACAGAAGAAAACATTCTAAAACCAATCATTAAGTCTTTGAAGGAATATCACCATATAAGGATACATATATGAAGCACTGATTTTTGGTTTATGAAGAAAAAAGGATAAACCAAAATTGAGAGCAGGACATAAAAAGAAGATAAATCAACATCTATCCAGATCTCAAAATCATTCCTTAAGTACACCTGGTAGCCTGTTTAGGAGATGGATGAAAATAGAACAAAGCACAGAAAATGGATTAAAATGCACTTTTGTTGTTTTTGTTGTTATGTGCCATCGAGTCAGACCCGAATCATAGTGACCCCTCCTTGGGTTGCCTAGGTACACATTATTTATACTTTATGGTAAGCAAATTCATTATTAACAACTTGCCAACATATTAATAAAATTAAATGTTTCCTTTTAACTTTTTACTAATAGTATAAAACATGGTTCTCAAACTTTGGTTCAAATCAGAATTATCTGCAGGGCTTCTGGGAATCTGTATTTCCAATCAGTCTGAAGCTGATGTGAGTGCTGCCAGTCTAGGGACCACACTTTGAGAACCACAAGTATAAATATTTTTTTGGAATTAAGGAGAAAAATCTTAAAAGTTGGATAATCTCTTAAACCAACAACAGGAAACAATCCACTTTTAAAAAATTTTGAGATAATTTTAGATTTATAGAAAGTTGCAAAAACAGTAGAGTTCTGTATATCCTTTGGTTATGTAAGACGTTGTTAATGTCTTACATAACCAAAGGATATCTATCAAAACTAAGAAATTCAACTTCGTACAATACTATTAACTATAAAGTATAAAACTTATTTAAGTTTCATCAGTTTTCACTAATGTCCATTTTCTCTTTCTGTTCAGGATCTAATCCAGTATTCCACACTGCATTTAGTTCCCCTGTCTCCTTCTCACTGCTGTCGAGTCATACCCAACTCATAGCGACCCCTCCTTGGGTTTCCAAGGCAGTATCACAATGGAAATAGATTGCCCAACCTTCCTTCTGAGGAGTGGCTGGTGGGTTTGAACCACCAGCCTTCTGGCTAGCAGTCAAATGCCTTAGGCGCTACGCTACCAGAACTCCTCATGTCTCTTTAGTCTCCTCTAATCTGTGACAACTCCTCAGTCTTTTCTTGTCTTTTATGACTCTGAAACATCTGAAAAGTACCCATCAGGTAACCTATAGAATATCCCCCTCAATTTGGGCTTGTCTGATTTTTCTCATGACTAAATTGAGGTTAAGGAGCTCTGGTAGTGTAGTAGTTAAGTCATTTGGCTGCTAACCAAAGGTTGGTGGTTTGAACCCACCAGCTGCTCTGCAAAAGAAAGATGAGGCAGTTGGCTTCTGTAAAGATTTACAGTCTTGGAAACCCAATGGGGGTCACCATGAGTCAGAATCAACTTGATAGCAGTGTGTTTGGTTTGGTTTGGAAATTGAGGTTATGCATTCTTGGGAAGGATACCACAAAAGTCATGTGCCTTCCCCAGTGTATCAGGATCAGGAAGTATGTATTTCTGTAATACTAACCTTGATCACTTGACTAAGATGGTATTTGTCAAAACTCTCCATGATAAACATCATTTTTCTTGTTATTGTTGTTAGGTCCTGTCAAGTTGGTCCCCACTCACGGCAACCCCATGCTGGTTCCTGACCCACCCTCACAATCCTTGCCACGCTTGAGCCCACTGCTGCAGTCCTATGTCAGTCCACTGCACTGAGAAGCTCCCTCTCTTCCACTGACCTTTTACTTCACTAAGTTTGATGTCTTTCTTCAGCAATTGGTCCATCTTGAAGACATGTCCAAAGTAAGCAAGACAAAGTCTCACCATCCTCACATTTAAAGAGCATTCTGGCTACACTTTCCCCAAGACTGATTAGTTCATTCTCCTGGCAGTATATGGTATATTCAGTGTTCAAATCCTGGTGAGAACCAGTGTTTAAATACCATTCTGCACTAAAAGGAATTACAACTCCCTGGAGAAATGGCTGATTTCAGGACTGGTCAGGGAAAATATAAAAGGAACTGGGAAATATTTGGAGAATAATGAAAATACATCAAAGGCACAAAAACCAGACTGAAGGGGCCCTCAGCTTGATATAGAATAAAACCGAAAAAACCAATCTCACTGCTATCAAATAGATTCCGACTCATAGCAACTTCCTTTGGGTTTCCAAGGCAGTAAATCTTTACAGAAGTAGATTGCCCAGTCTTCTTTCTGTGGAGTGGCTGGGGGTTTGAACCTCCAACCTTCTGGTTAACAGTCAAATGCCTTAGGCACTACACCACCAGAACTCCTTCATATAGAGTAACATGTGCATTAAAGTAAAAGATAGTAACAGATTACAACCTGTAGAATAAAATAGACCTACTTCTTGAAATACACAAATTACCAAAACTGATAACATAATAGGAAATACAAAATTTGAATAACCTTCATTTTAAATAAAACAAAACTGTTATGAAAAATCTTTCCACATACATTTAATCAGTTAAAAACAATCTTCTCACAAAGAAAACTCCAGGTCCAGATGGTTTCACTGGTGAATTCATTAAATTTTAAGAAAGAAACAATACCATGATCATATACCAAAGCTTTTAGAAAATGGAGGAGGAGGAAGACTTCCTAATTCACTTTATGAGATCAGCATAACCTTGATACCAAAATCTGAAATTTACAGACCAATATCCCTAATGAACACAGACACAAATTTCTTAAGAAAACATGGGCACCTATGACCATGGATAGTATTGGCAGACGATGTTTCTACATGCATATTTGTATGTGCTATAAGAACGTCCAGGTATATAGTAGAGCTGACAAAGGGCAAGGCTGTGGTGGCTTCCTGGCCACAGCCAGCTACTCGAAGGGCACGAGAAGTTGGACCTGTAGGCTTGGAACCATGGTTGTAGGGGACACCAAGTTCAACTGGCATAATATACTACACAAAAACATTGTTTTACATCCTACTTTGGTGAGTGATGACTGAGGTTTTAAAAGCTTGTGAGCTGCCATCTGGAGGCAACAAAGGGTCTCTCCTTGTCCAGAGTAAAGAAGAATGAAGAAAACCAAAGATGTATGGAAACAGTTAGTTCAAGGGACTAGAAGACCATGTGCTTCAGCCTATATGACCATGAGACCAGAAGAACTAGATGGTGCCCAGCTACCATTGTTAACCACCCGGAGGAGGACTGGTGCAGGAGAGCCTAGATAGAGTGGGAGAACAAAACTCAGAATCATTAACAAAAAAAAAAGACCAGGTTTGCTGGTCTCATAGAGCCTGATGAGATCCTTGAGACTATGGCCCCTAGTTACCTTTCAGGTCTGGAACTGAATTTACTCCTGTGGCTTCCAGCTAAACAAGAGACAGGCATACAGGGTGAACATTTACATCAGGTAGACACATTCCTTGGAGCAATCAATCGTGGGAGAACAGAAGGGCAATATTTGCACAGGGAGAGAGCTCAGGGGGCAGAAGTGCATGGGAAGGAAGGATACAGGGAAGAGGTAACTACAGGGAGGAAGTGGGAAGAGAGCATTGTGGGGAATTCCAATCAATATCATGAAACAAAATGTGTATGAACTGCTGTATGGAAATGGAATTTGCTCTGTAAACTTTCACCCAAATCACAATAAAATTAAAAAGAAAAGAAAGATAAAACATCATGACCAAGTGGAGTTTATCCCAGGAATGCAAGGCTTAATATTTGAGGAGGGAAAAAAAAATCAATTAATGTAATTTTTAAAATATCAAATTAACAGAATAAAGAGGATGCAGGAGAAATCTATGTGAAAATCTCAATAGATGCAAAAAATTTTTTTTTTTTCCACAAAATTAAATACTTATTCAGGATAAAAACCTCAGCAAGGTAGGAATAAAAGGGCACTTCTTAATCACACGAAAGGCATGAAAAACAACAAAAAACCCTTCATTTAACATTGTACTAAATGGTGAGAGACTAAATATTGTCCCTCTAAGACTGTGAACAAGGATACATGCTCTTAGTAGATCTACACAACATTATATTTGAGGTTCTACCATTAAAATAAAGCAAAAAATGAAAGGCAAACCAATTGGAAAAGAAGAAATAAAACTCTATAAATGATGTAATTTTGTATGCAGAAGATGCTAAAGAAGCTACTAAAGATACTGAAAACAAATTTAACACAGGAAACAAGATAAACCTTCAAAAATTGATTACATTTCTATACACCAGCAACATTCAACTAGAAAATGAAAAATTTGACAACAGCATCGAAAAACATTACATATTCAGGAATAAATTGAATAAAATATGTGTAAGAAATAGACACCAAGAGCTAAAAAACATTGTTTAAAAAAATTTAAAAAGACAACTAAGTGGAGAGATATACTATGTTTATGGACTGGAAGACCAGATATTGTTAAAATGGCAATTCTACTCAAATTGATATATATTTTAATAAAATCCAAATCAAAACCCCATAGGCTTCTTTAATAGAAATTGCCATGTTGATTCTAAGATTTATAGAGAAGTGCAAAATATCTAGAATAGCCAAATCAATATTAAATATAAAAACAAATACGAAGGACTCATACTACCTCATTTTAAGATTC